CCCTCAGCTCTTCAGCTCAAGGCTAGCGCTCTACCACTTGAGCCACAGCACCACTTTTGGCTTTTTTCTTTTTGCTTATGTGGTGCTGAGGAATTGAACCCAGGGCCTCAGGCATGCAAGGCAGGCGTTCTACCACTGAGCCACCTTCCCAGCCCCAATAAGTATATTTCTTATTTTTGGATAGCGTCACCTCTTCCTTTGCTTTCCCCCAATATATTTAGTGTTTCTTAAGAACAAATGTTGTTTTTTTTTTTTTTTGACAACTAGACATCTATCTGAAAAAAACTGAAGTTGAATCTGTTCTTATACTGTCTGTAAAAATTCACTACAAGTGAGTTGAAGATATAAATGAAAGAGGCAAAACAATAAATTCTTAGCAGAAAATCTGGAAGTAATTTTCATGACTTTTGATTAAGACACCAAAAGCCCAAATGACAACAATAGATTCTTCCAGCTACATTAGAGCATGAGCTTTTGTGTTCAAAAGACAGTGTCACAGAAAATATTTGCTAGTCACATGTCATAAAAGTGACTTGCATCCATAATACTTATGTGTAACAACTCTTACAACTGAATAATCAATAACAAGAAAAATAATGCACTTTTAAAATTGGGCAATAGATCTGAATAAATATTTCTCAAAAAAGAAACATGCAAACATCTAATAAATAAGTTCTGTTTTTTTTTATTTATTTATTTTTTTTTTTTTGGTTGGCCGTGGGGCTTGAACTCTGGGCCTGGGCGCTGTCCCTCAGCTCTTCAGCTCAAGGCGAGCACTCTATCTCTTGAGCCACAGCACCACATCTGGTTTTCTGCTGGTTAATTGGAGATAAGAGTCTCATGGACTTTCCTGCCTGAACAGGCTTTGAATCAGAGCTCAGCCTCCTGAGTAGCTAGGATTACAAGTGTGAGCCACCAGCTCCCAGCTAAACTTTTGAAATTTTTGAAACCATTTTAAGTAAAGACATTTCTAAAAGAAAGATAACTGAATATGAAATGTGATTTGGGGTAAAATTAAGTCTTAAGTCTTTTCACATTCTTGAATTTCTTAAAATTGGTTTTTATACCTTGTATTTCTTATTTTTAGATGCCAACACTATTTGTGGAGTCAGTTTTGGAAGTACATGGTAAATTTGTTCAGTTAATCAACACTGTTTTGAATGGTGACCAGCATTTTATGAGTGCATTGGATAAGGTAACTTTTTAATACATAAGTACTATATATGTATGTAAAAGTCTCATTATTTTACTCTTAGACTTCATGAAATTATTAATAAAGTAAGTGAATTTGTAGTAAACTACCATCTTCTAAAATGCATGCACAATTTTAGTCTCTTTCAGTACTTCTTTTTTGAAAAATTACATTTAGGCTATATTCAGTAGTAATTGAAAGACAAATGTTTGACAGACTTGAAGAATCTTGATGTTCTACATAGAAAATGTACTTGCATGGTTCAAATTTCAGGACTGAGTTATAAAGAATTATATAGAATATGATAATTATGAATATAGTTAGATGAGTCTACTAGTTTACCACTAAAATTTATTATATGGGGTGGTGCATTAGATTTTCATCTGCATAACACCACTATGGTACCAGGTTTCAGACTGTGATCTTTTTTGTTTTTTTTTTGTTTTTGGTCAGTGGTGGGGCTTGAACTCTGGGCCTGGGCACTGTCCCTTCAGCTAAAGGCGAGTGCTCTACCACTTGAGCCACAGCACCACTTCTGGTTCTCTGGTGGTTAATTGGAGATAAGAGTCTCATGGGCTTTCTTGCCCAGGCTGGCTTTGAACTGTAATCCTCAGGTCTCAGTCTCCTGAGTAGCTAGGATTACAGGCTTAAGCTTATGCACCGGCACCCGGCATCAATCTGTGATCTTTTGGGCCTGTGGCTAGAGAATGTGGTAGAGGGAGGCTGTCCTTTTTGTGGTGTCTGGGGAAACAGGTAGGAGTGGGAGACAAGAGAAGAGGCATGGTCTGGTTATCCTTCCAGGCCACAGCCCCAGTGACATAACTTTCCCCAACAGTGTCACAGGCTGACCAACCAAGCCTGTAGTACACAGCCTTTGGGGGCGCTTAGGATCCAAAACAGATCAGGTGGTAATTTGGGACACACAGATTATAGCACCTCTGCTTTCCTCATGGCTAATTACTGACTTGCTTTCTTTTTAGGCCCTTACATCAGTTGTAAATTACAGAGAGCCCAAGTCAGTTTGCAAAGCACCAGAACTGGTAAGTGATGGTTGCTTAAAAGTAATTGTTGGAGCCAGGCGTTGGTGGCTGAAGTCTGTAATCTTAGCTACTCATGGAAATGGTGCTGTGGCTAAAGTGGTAGAACATTCGCCTTGAGCTGAAGAGCTGAGGGACAGTGCCCAAGCCCAGAGTTCAAGCCCCACAACTGACCAAAAAAAAAAAAAAAGCATGATGTAATTCTAGCTACTCAGGAGACTGAGATCTGAAGATCACAGTTCAAAGGCAAACCAGACAGGAAAGTCTTATCCCTAATTAGCTACCCCAAAAAACTGGAAATGAAGCTGTAGTTCAAGTGGTAGAACACTAGCCTTGAGCAGAGAAGCTTAGGGACACACCTAGGCCCTGAGTACATACCCCAGGACTGACACCTCAAAAAAAATTGGGGGAAGAACATGGAACAGCATTCAAAATAATTTTTGTGGCATTTTTTAGAAGGTGATTACTTACGTCTTACAGAAATTGGCATTTATGTAAGGAATGCAATAGGCCCATGTACCTTTCTTTCTTTTTTTTTTTGGGGGTCTGGTTGTGGGGCCTGAACTCTGGGCCTGGGCACTGTCCCTCAGCTCTTCAGCTCAAGGCTAGC